GCATCAACAAGCAGAGCCCGGACATCGCCGGCGGCGTGCACGTTGGCAAAGATGAGATGGACGTGGGAGCCGGAGACCAGGGCATCATGTTCGGCTATGCCAGCGACGAGACTTCCGACTGCATGCCGCTGACCCACTCCATGGCCACCCGGCTCGGCAAGACCCTGACGGAGGTGCGCAAGAGCGGCGAGTGCTGGTGGCTGCGGCCAGACGGCAAGACGCAGGTGACCATCGAGTACCTGCAGCACCCCGATGGCGCCGTAGAGCCCAAGAAGATCCACACGGTGGTGATCTCCACGCAGCATGCTGAGCCGTCCAAGGCCAAGCGCACTCAGGAGTGTGCTGGCTACAGCGGTGCTGAGATGATCGCTCCTAGCATGGAGGAGATGAACAAGGAGATTGAGGAGAAGGTCATCAAGCGAACCCTCCAGTCCATCAAGCTGAAGAACGGCCAGCCCGCCATCAGCTTGTACGGCAGCCACACGCACCTTCACATCAACCCTTCCGGCAAGTTCATCATCGGCGGCCCTCAGGGTGATGCCGGGCTGACAGGCCGCAAGATCATCATCGAGGCTTGGCAGGATTTGGCAAGGCCTCTGAAATCTCTGTTCATCTTGTATCTTCAAAGTCTAGCTTAGAAGAAGGCTTTGAGAATGACCTTTGGAGCATTTCATCTGAGGACACCTACGGAGGCTGGGGAGCCCACGGCGGCGGCGCCTTCTCCGGCAAGGACCCCACCAAGGTGGACCGATCAGCGGCCTACATTTGCCGGCAGATGGCCAAGTCTGTGGTGAACAGTGGCTTGAGCGCGCGCTGCCTGGTGCAGCTGTCCTATGCCATCGGTGTGGCCAAGCCGTTGTCCTTGTTTGTGGAGACCTACGGCAGCGAGAAGGGCAGCCTCACCGTTGATGACATCACCAAGGTACTGAAGATTGAATTCGACTGCCGGCCCGGCGCCATCGCGCAGTCCTTGGCCCTGCGCGAGCCCAAGTACCAGGAGACCGCTGCCTACTGCCACTTTGGCCGCGAGCCCTACACCAAGGAGGGCATCAAGTTCTTCGAGTGGGAGAATCCCAAGGACCTTTCGAAGTACAAGGGCATGAGCACCACTCAGGTGGACGCTGCCTTGAAGGGCAGCACTTACCTCACGAAGTGGGTGGACTAAGTGCGCCGGGTAATCCAAAAACTTGGAGTGCCCTCTTGCCTGGACCCGACAGCCTGTGATGCCCCAGATCCGCCGGCCAAGCGCC